ATATATATATATATATATATATAATACACATGTTCCACATTTCTCACCGCAATTCGTCACAATTCAATCATACATACATACATACATACATACATACATACATACATACATATATACATACATACATACATACATATATATATACACACATGTATATGTATATATATATATATACACACACATATGTATATATATATATATATATATATATATATATATATATATAAATATAAATATATATATATATATATATATATATATATATATATATATATATATATATATATATATATATATATATATATATATATATATATATATATATATCACAACATATATATAATTCACCAAGGGTATTCACCGTGCATATATTAACCATTCATTCATATACATCACAATGTATATATTCACACTAAACACATTCATAACTTCACATAAACATTTACAATTATGTTTATTTACCAATACACAATTCATGATGATAAATGAAACTCATAGAGACCGACTCACGACTCTATGTAGATGCACATGCGGTACCGACTCAATCATCTCAAGTTCACTCAAGAACTTATTGGAACCATCGCTCACACCCCACATGGGCACACGATGTTCACCCATTGCTCACACCCCACATGGGCACACAATGTTTATGGAATGCTCACACCCCACACGGGCACACAATCCGATTGCTCACACCCCACACGGGCACACAATCGTTCAGAAGATTCTACGCGGAATCAATCAGCACAAGAACGTATATCATGATGCTTCACATGCAAAATGACTTCATACACTTCTTGAAATGCATACATATTCATAATGTTTTCATGCATTCTTCTCATATTATCACACACTATCAGCATACATTCACAATATCATGCCAAACAGCTACAAACTCCATCACAATCACCATACATTTTTAATCAATTTAAAACAATGCATATATTTGCCAAAAGGCCACGATTCACAATCGATTCCATAATCTAGGGTTCACGCCATACGGCTACCCACAACATATCATATAACAGTACACAACTATACATTATAAAAATATATATCGAAATCGTCAACATTGGATGGAAGCAACAAAATAAAACAAGTTGTTGTCACGTTCGCTGGCCTACTCGCCTAGCGAGGCCCTAGCGAACATTCGCTACAGGCTCGCCTAGCGAACGTGCTAGCGAAGCCTGATCCTGAGCTACTGGTTGTGCTCGCTACTGACTCGCTGGGACTTCGCCTAGCGAACCCCTCGCTACCCCACTCACTACCAGCGAAGAGGATCATTTCCATTCTGTCCAAGTCTGGGACCGTTCGCTACCAGCTCGCTACAGCGAACACTCGCGACCTGCTCGCCTAGCAAAGGTGCTAGCGAACGTCTGCGATGTTCAAAACTCCAACTGTCCAAAATCATCAAATCATCACCAAATAAATCGATTCAATTCCAACGACTTCTAGTAGTCTTAGCCTAACATTCCTCGACTATTCTACACCATTTATTCTCAATCTTAACCGTTAAAACATCGATTCTACCGATTAAATCCATTTATGCCCTAGAATGGAAAAAGATGGGAAACCTCTAATAAATCCAAACACACACATACATAACCATAAACATTGAGAAGATAATAACATTTCACACCCTTACCCGATTAAATCGAAGCCTAGATGTTGTTCTTGAAGAATCCCTAGCTTTTCTCTCTTTTTCTTCTCTTCTTCCTTCTTTCTCTTCTCTTTCCCTCTATTTCTCTTTTTCTTTCTTTTCTTTCTATCTATTTTCTCTCCTCTTTCCACTTATATTCTTTCTATTCTATTTCTCTCAAAATATCTGTTAAATCCATTTTATCACAAAATATCCAACTTAACATTAAATACTAAATGTCTAAAATACCCTCCAATCTATTTTCCCCGAAAACTCTCAAAATCGGTAAAATAACATAATATGCAAACATAACATATTAACACATAAATTCCACAATTAAAATAATAATGACCCAGTTAAACCAAAAGACTCAACAAAAATGGGAATAATCGAAATCGGGGCGTTACGTACGCGTAATGCCCTAGGGTTTCTCTGTCATACGCACAATGCCTCACTTGTTACGCGTATGGCTAGTGTTTGCACCAAAATTCAGTTTTCTGCTTTTTTTTTTAACGAATTTTCACCCTTTGATCCCCTATTCCAGTACCAAAACAGATCCAAAATAGTCCTCCATACCAGTTTATGTCTCATAATTCATCCTCTCACATTAACCTATTGTTTCTATCACGATTGCTCATCAACTAAATTTAATTTTCGTCACTTCCTAAATCCCTTAATTATCCAGATCTGCAACATGGTAAAATATAGAATTGTCTACAACTTTGTAACAACATTAGCATCACCGTAACGAATTTACATTAGCATCAACACACACAACACAATTTTCATAACATTCATACGAATATCAATCAAAAATACAAGGAGAAGAATTAATACAAAAATCCTAAGAGGGAAAGGAACCCTCACTACCCTCTCATGTTAAATTCATCATTACGGATCCCATTCTCCCCCTTACCTGAATTTGAGCTTCAAATCCTTAAACAATGGTGGAATCCTTTCTTGCCTTAGTTCTTCCTTGTTCTTTCTCTTACTCTCATTTCCTTCTCTTTTCACGTAATTGGTCTGATTTTGCTAACCTCTCCACTAATCCCTCTAATTATGTTTTAATGATCATCTTAATAATAATAATAATAATAATAATAATAATAATCCCAATAATAATAATAATGTTAATAATTATAATAATACTAATATTAATAATTATAATAGTAATAATATTAATATTAATACAACTAATATTAACATTAATAAAATGTCTTCGTATTATATTATTATCACCATGTTGTCCTAACCTTTAATTCTGATTAAGTCCTCTTACTAAGCTCTCACACCCGCCCTACATACTTACCCCTAATTAATCAATAAAATCATAAACAACACACAAATAAATCATAAAACGACTAAATAATTAAATGGGGTACTACAGTCATGATAGATATATTCGACTTAAGAGCTTTTTCAAGTGCGTGTAAACCTCATCCATTTGTATGAGTATATAAAGTTTCATCTTCTTTGAAATTAAACAAGCACACGAAAGACTGTACAACTTCCTAAGTGTACAAACACGCTTTCAGCTATTTAAATTTATTTTCTCTGCTCGTTTGGCTTCATGAAAAATAAAATTCAATTCTGCTCGAGATATATTGCCCACCAACTATGAATAAAGATTGATATATCTGATATGTGTTCTAATACTATAATATTATGACCAAATGATGTTTGTATCTCGTTATTCTGATTTTAGATCATTTGATTCACGGAGTCCCAACCTCTACATAAATCACCTTTACTATTTTTCAATAAATTCTTCAATGTACTATGAGTATATTCAACTCTGTTAGTTATTGTATTTTCAATGTGCCTAATCTGATTGGTCCAAGCACAAACAATATTTTCCTTCGTCCGGTATAGAATTGTACTTTCAACATATTTCAAAAAATTCAAATATTTCTTACACGTCCTCCTAAAAAAGTTTCAAAAAAATGTCGAACTATCTAAAACAACATTTTAAGAATAATTATTCAAACCAAATTTTTATTTGAATTTTTTTATAAAAAATTTAGGCTTAATACCTTTTTTAGTCTCTTATCTATATTTCTGGGTCCATTTCGATCCTTTTTCTTTTAAAATGTTCAATTTGAACCCTTAGAGCATCTTTAATGTAAGTTTTCAATAGTTAATTTTTTTTTATAGTTAACACTGATTATAAAGAATTTGCATTTGAATGGTTATGACATGACAATTAATTCACCAACTTTTAGTTTCCGGCAATTATATAGCTAACTATTATTAAAGTAAAAACAACTCAAATTAACTATAAATTTTTTAAATCCTACAAATCAATTTGGGCCCACAAAAAATATCTGAGTTTACCCACTTAAGATGCTCTTACGTAATTAAATAATCAGTAGGGATCAAACTCATATCAATAAGGGTAAAAGGTCAATTACCAACCATCTAAGCTACTTGTCCAATATGAAAGAATATCTAACATTATATATATATATATATATATATATATATATATATATATATATATATATATATATATATATATATATATATATATATATATATATATATATATATATATATATATATATATATATATATATATATATATATATATATATATATATATATATATATATATATATATATATTGGCTACTACTGGGAGATAATTGTTTCAAAATTTGACAGGACGAGGTGTTGTATGAGGTAAATGCAAATTCTAAAAATTGGATGATCGTTGGAAGGAAAAGAAAGCATGTATCTCTGTCCAAAAATTAAGGTGTATCCATCTAGAACATAATTTGCATCAGGATATTTTTTGCAAGAACTACCTATAATATGCTAATGCTTTTATTGGTATTTAAATTGCTTTCTTATCATGATAAATGCAAGGATAATTATTACAGTATTATGCATGCCATTGGTGGCTGGTTATGTGTGTCCTCCTCTTCTTAGGCTGCCAGAAATCGACGAGGCAAATATAAGGTGCAAACCTTTTGGGCCACATCTAGTTTGTGTTTTGCCACCAACGTTCAACTCATCCTTCTGCATTCCAGTTAATTCATGATCTTACACTGTGTTTCTACTCAATTGAATCCCATATCAGAATATCATTGAATTCTCATAGCAGATTTAACAAATGAAACTTTAACACAAAACTCAAGAGTACTCACCCTCTGATAATAAACAACCTCAAATGTTTGAATACTCACAGCAAGAAAGAGTACTCGCTCTCGGATAATAAACAACCTCAAATATTTGATTTCAATTCATTCACTATTCCTCTTTTCGTGTGACGAATCCCAACATAAAGTTCACCATTTTCACCTCTCATAAACACAATAGAATCAACTGCAAGCAAGCTTTTTATGATTCACAAAACTACTTCAACCAGTTAACAAATGCCTCATTGGTTTTCCTCTATAGATATGTCTAAACTTCCAAACCTCGCTGTGAACGTCCATCGCAATCACAATTTGAACTGGTGGCTCAGTCGAGTAATCAAACTGAGGAAAAATCGTTTTTGCGCAGTATCTCGGAACTGAAATCCCTCCACCATTAATTGCATCAGATTGAGTTAAAGTCTTAGCAAAAGATGCAGGCGTTTCGAAACTCTCTGAAACATTACCATTAGAACCATCAGAATCTTCGTTTTTAAGCTCTGAATTTCTCAAAGGAATCAAAGTTATCTTTGAAAAAAATTCATCAATTTCTGGGTCGCCTAAGAATTTCACAAAAGCTACACAACAAAGGATATGCGTTTGAATCATTCCTCCTGCACATGCGTGCCATAGTTGCAGATTTAAGTTTTTCTCAGCTTTCTTCATCAGTTTGAAATTTTACTTACTCTGCTCTAAAAGAGAGAGAGAAAAAAAAAGTGGCATAAATTTTCAGTGAATGAATAATGTAACAAGTGCAAACAAAATTCAAAATGGGTTATATATATATATATATATATATATATATATATATATAGAGAGAGAGAGAGAGAGAGAGAGAGCATATCAAATGAGAGTGATTTTAAATGAGAGATGAGAGTAACAAACAACAACTATTAGATCAAATTAATAAGAGAGATGAAATTCAAGTTAATAAGAGAGAAAAATTAATAATCACATTAATAAATAAGTTTAATCATGATCTAATGGTTGTTGTTTGTTCCTCTCATCTCTCATTTTAAAATCTCTCTCACTTGATATGCCCCTATATATATATATATATATATATATATATATATATATATATATATATATATATATATATATATATATATATATATATATATATATATATATATATATATATATATATATATATATATATATATATATATATATATATATATATATATATATATATATATATATATATATATATATGTGTGTGTGTGTGTGTGTGTGTGTGTGTGTGTGTGTGTATATATATATATATATACACACACACACACACACACACACACATATATATATATATATATATATATATATACACACACACACACACACACACACACACACACACACACACACACATATATATATATATATATATATATATATATATATATATATATATATATATATATATATATATATACACACACACACACACACACACACACACACACACACACACACACACACACACATATATATATATATATATATATATATATATATATATATATATATATATACACACATACACACACACACACACACATATATATATATATATATATATATATATATATATATATATATATATATATATATGAGCTTATTTGAGCTATCAATTGTGGGCATCTTTCACTCATTTTTGGTCTAATTTCGGTTCAAAATCGCCTTGCTTTTGTTGATATGCGATATGTTGTGAAATTCTCTTGTTCCTTTTAATTTGTGTGTTATTGTGCAGTATTTGAGCATGAATGAGCAAAATTTGAAGACACACAAGAAAGTTGACAAAGGAATCAAGAAAGATCAAGAGCAAAAGCATGTTCGCTAGGCGAACATCTGGCGAGTGTTGCAGCGAGTTGTTCGCTAGGCGGGAATCCAGCGAGCTGCTAGCAAACACTCCCAGACTTGGGCAGAACCAAAATGGCATTATTCGCTGGCAGCGAGGCAGGTGGCGAAGAACTCGCTAGGCGAGCACCTAGCGAGCAAGTAGCGAAGCATTCCAGAATCTTTTCATCTGCCCTCACTAGCATGTTCGCTAAACGAAGCTGTAGCGAACGTTCGCTGTTAGCTCGCTAGGCGAATGAAGTCGCGAGCATGACAGGACAACAACTTTTTCTATATATAGGCTTTGTACTTTTTGAACAAGATATATATTTTTTACTTTGTTTTGCTGCATAAAAGATTTGGTGACCTAGAAACACTCTCTCTTATTTTCTTCATCTCTAAACATTAATCCACAAAAAGAAGGTGGATTCTCATCCAAGTTGGATTTTTTGACTCGGATGTTCATCAACCTTCTTCTGAATCTTCTTTTGCAAGCTACCATGAAAATGAGTAGCTAAGTTCTTCATTTTGTCAAGGTTAGATGTAGGTGATCATAAAGCTTTGTAAGTATATGGATGATCTTCATTTGTAAACTCTTGGATGATGAATATATGGTGAAACCCTTGCTTTATCTTTAACTCTTTGTGTTGGTTTATGATCGAAAGATATTTTCCAACTCTTGACCTAGGTTTTCATCCTTCTATTTTCTTAATCTAGAGATAGTTTCGAATGTTGTTGTTCATGAAAAATGTTAAACCTAAATGTTGTCATTTTGATAGATTGTATGAGAAATCAACAATGGATCAAAATGAAAAAAATCACAATGTGAGTTAGAAATAATCACATTGGGAGGATGTTGTGAATGTGTTTATCATCTAAAGAAGTTTATGCATATTGTTGATCGGACATATACAAGCAAAGTGATTACCGAACTCTAACTTTGACAATCTTTATTAAATCGTGAAATCAATCGTTAACCGCGATTCAGTACTTTTTATGCAAAGATACCGTTACTAAAAACCAAAACCCTTTTGTTACAAAAAAGTTAAGAACTCGATAACTGTCGAACTACGGCAATATCTCATATTCCCTGTGGAGACGATAACAAAAAACCGACACTTAACCATTATCCTAACAGCGCACACGTGTGTATTTGTGTGTGTGTGCACGCGCTTGTGTGTGTGTGTGTGCGTGTGTGCGCGCACGTGTGTATGTTTGTGGGTGTGTATGTGTGCGTGTGAGAGAGAGTGTGAGCACGTGTGTGTGTGTATGCGCGTGCGCGCGTGTGCGCACGTGTGTGCGCGTGTGTGAGAGAGAGAGAGAGAGTGTGTGTGTGTGTGTGCACGTGTGTGTTTGTTTGCGCGCACGGGTGTGTGTTTGTGCGCGTGTGTTTTTTTTTGTGTGTGTATGCACGCACGCGCGTGTGTGTGTGAGCATGCACATGTGTTTGTGTGTGTGTTTGTGTGTGTGTGTGTGTATCTGCGCAGGTGTGTGTGTGTGTGTGTATGCGTCTGTGTGTGTGCGCGCATGTGTATGTTTGTGTGTGTGTGTGTGTGCACGCGTGTGTATGTTTGTACGCACGCGCGTGTTTGTGTGTGTGTGCACGCACGCATGTGTATATGTGTGTGCATGCGCTTGTGTGTGTGCATGTGCGCGCACGTGTGTGTGTTTGTGTGTTTGTGTGTGTGTGTATGTGAGAGAGTATGAGCACGTGCGTGTGTGTGTGCGTGTGTTCGTTTGTGCACGTGTGCAAACGTGTGGGTGTGTGTGTGTGCGCGTGTGCGCACATGTGTATGTGTGTGTATGTGTGAGAGTGAGAGTGTGTGCACGCGTGTGTGTGTTTGCACGCGCATGTTTGTCTGTGTGTGTGTCTGTGTGCACGCACGTGGGTGAGGGCGCTCACGCGTGTGTATATTTGCATGCACACACGTGTTTGTGTGTGTGTGTGTGTGTGTGTGCACGTGCTTGCGTGTGTGTGTGAGCGTGCGCACGCGCACGTGTGTGTGTGTGTGTACATGCATGCATGTGTGTATGTGTGCGCGCACGTGTGTGTATTTGTGTGTGTGTGTGTGTGTGTGTGAGTGTGAGCACGTGTATGTGTGTGTTTGTGCGTGTGTGCACGTGTGCAAATGTTTGTGTGTACGTGTGTGCGCACGTATGTATGTGTGTGAAAGAGAGAGTGTGCGCACGTGTAATTGTGTTTGCGTGCGCGTGTGTGTCTGTGTGTGTGCGCGTGTGCGCGCACATGTATGTGTGTGTGTGTATGTGAGAGAGTGTGAGCACGCGTGTGTGTGTACATATGTGCAAACGTGTGTGTGTGTGTGTGCGTGTGCGCACGTGTGTTTGTGTGTGTGTGTGTGTGAGAGAGAGAGAGAGTGTGTGTGTGTGTGTGTGTGTGCATGCACGCGTGCATGTGCTAGCGCGTGCAAGTGTGTCTGTGTGTGCGCGCGTGCTCGTGTGTTTGTGTGTGCAAGCACACATGGGTGCGTGTGGGAGTGCACGCGCGCACGCATGTGTTTGTGTGTGTTTGTGTATGTGCGCGCACGTGCGTATGTGTGTGTGTATGAGCGTGTGTGCGCGTGTGTGTATGTGTGTGTGTGTGTGGGTGTACGTGTGTGTGCGTGCGAGCGTGCATGTGTGTGTGTATGTGCACGCGCATACGTGCGTCCGTGGGTGCGTCTGTGTGCATGTGCACATGTGAGAGAGAGAGAGTGTGTGCCCACGCGTGTATGTGCCCACGCGTGTGTGTGCTTGCATGTGTGTGTGTGTGTCTATGTGCGTAGGTGCACGCGCGTTTGTGTATATGTGTGCATGTGTGTGTGTCTGTGCATGTGTGTGTGTGCGTGTGTGTGTGTGTGTATGTGCGTGTGGGAGCGCGCGCGTGTTCTTGTCTGTGAGCGTATGTGTGTGCGCACATATGTGTTTGTGTGTGTGCGTGTGTGCGCACATGTGTGTGTAAGAGAGAGAGTGTGCGCACGTGTGTGTGTGTGTGCGTGCGTGTGTGTGTGTGTGTATGTGTGCACGCGCGTGTTTATGGGTATGCGAGTGCGTGTTTATGTGCATGCGAGTGCGTGTTTATGTGTGTGTGCACGCGCGCGCGTGTTTGTCTGTGCGCGTGTTTGTCTGTGCGGGCACGTGTGTGTGGGTGTGTGTGTGCGCGTGCGTATGTTCGCGCGCACGCGTGTTTGTGTGTGTGCGTGTATGTGAGAGAGAGTGTACGTACGCGTGTGTGTGTGTGTGTGTGTGTGTGTGCACGCACGTGTTTTTATGCACGCGATTGCGTGTGTGCATGTTTGTGTGTGCCTGCGTGCCTGCGTGTGTGTGTGTATCTGTGTCTGCGCAGGTGTGTGTGTGTGTATGTGTGTGCGCTTGCGTAGTTGCTTGCGTGTTTGTTTGTGCGTGTGTGTGTGCGCACATGTGTGTGTGTGTGCACCCAGGCGGACACACGTGCGCGCCCGTGTGTGTGAGTGTGCGTGCGTGTGTGTGTGTGTGCTGGCGTGCGTGTGTGTATGTGTGTGTGTCTGCGCAGGTGTGTGTGTGCGTGCGTGTGAGCGCGCACGCGTGTGTGTGTTTGTGTGAGCGTGCTTATGAGCACGCGCACGCGTGTTTGTTTGTGCATACGCGCGCCGTGTGTGTGTATGTGTATGTGCGCGCACGTGTGTGTGTGTGTCTGTGTATGCGCGTGTGTGTTTGTGTGCGTGTGTTTATGTGTGTGTGTCTGTGTTGCGTGCACACGTGTGTGTGTGTGTGTCTGCGCACGTGTCTGTGTGTGAGCGCATGTGTGTATGTGTGAGTGTGTGCGTGTGTGTGTGTTAGAGAAAGAGTGT